CCCCTCCAGGGATGGGGCAGCCACAGCTTCTCTGGGCAACCTGGGCCAGTGCCGGAGTTTCCTGCTGCCAAAACGGGCTGGAGCCCGGCACGGAGGGAAGTCACGGGCCCAAAGGGTTGTCCTGAAGCAACCGGGACGTGAGACTGGACCTGGGACACGAGGGCTGCCAACAGCAGTTGGGACCGTGGCCCTGGGACGTGGCTCAGAGGGAGATTCTTTCACCCCAGAGGAATTTCTGGGAAAGCCCTTCTCCCTGTGTCACCCTTGGCCGGGCTCTTTCCCCTTAGGCTTGGCCTAACGGACCAAGGACGTCCTGCCCCTCCAACGTGATTCCTCCCTGCTCCAGGAGAGCTAACGAGCTCGCCCCAGCTGGGCTCATTTAGCTCATTAAACAGAAGGGTGATAAGAGGTGGCTGGACAAGGTTACTGAGAGGGCAATTTAGGCTTTTGCAGGTCCCAGCTCTCCCAGTAGAGTCTCTGGGATGCAAGAAGGAAAGGGAATGATGGATTTGGCTGGTGCCTTTCACTAGGAGACCTTGATTTGGCTGGTCCCCGTGCCCTGCTGTCCCTGCCCTTATTTTGGGAGATAATAGAGCTTTTAAGGGCTTTCCTAGGCAAAAGGAGGAGTTTCTCTGCTGGAAGAGAGCAGAGGAACGCTCTCCTTGCTGGGGCTCCCCTGGGAGGAGCTGGTGATGCTGGTGGGAGCTGCTGCCTTCTTCTCCTGAGGACTTTGGTGGCCAAAGGGCCACTCTGAGACTTCCTGAGCCTTGTGGCTACCACCAGAGGATCTTCTGCTCCCTCCGGTCACCTCCCAGCAGCTCTGCCATGGTGGTGCCCTCCCTGCACCCTGGGGTTGCATCTCCTGGGGGTTCCCATGCCAGGGCCGTGGCTCTGCCCATGCAGTTCCTTACCATGCCTGCAGAAGAGGAGGAAGAGGAGGGCTCGGAGGAAGAAGCCAGGGTTTTCCAGCTGCCCTGGGCTCTTACTGCAGGCGGGTTTCCCCATTCCAATCCATGCAGAGCCCGGGGGGTTCCTCACCCGCTGGCTCCTCTGGGCTTCATTCAGCAGGTTCTCCTGGAAGCAAAAAACCCCAGGATCTGGTTTTTAAACTGCTTTCCACCACTGTAGCCCTCGTCTCCTGTCCTGGGTTCAGTGTCTCGAAGAGTTAAAGCTTCCAGCTGCCCTCGGAGAGGATCCCAGAGGATCCCTGAGCTCTGGGGGCTCCAGGGCAGGGATGTAGGGATGCTGCGAGCAGGACCCAACCTGTCCTACATCTCGGGTGCCTCTGGCCTGCTGCTATCCCCACCAAAATTAAGATTTGGAGCACCACATCTGAGGAGGTTGGAGCTGAAAAGCCAAATTTTAAGTGCCACGACATCCACAGCCACGGGGTGACACCGACATCTCCTGCTCCACCCAAAAACTGGTCCAGCTTCCCTCAGAGTTGGGAAACGGGGCTCTTGGTGATATTCTGCCTTTCTTTTCTCCCCCCCCGGCTGCTTTGGCTGCTCCCTGGGTGCTGGGGGGGCTCGAAGTGGAGCACCAGAAGCTGTGCTCATCCTGACAACGGGCTGCAGAGCTCGGGGGAAAAAAAATGAACTTCATCAGGGCTGGGAATTTGAGTCCTTTTGGCATATTTTTACAGGCGGTTGGGTGTCAGTCGCTTGTCAGTCAGACAGCCCGATGCAAAGGTCTTTTTGAAACAGCTCTGTGTGAAATGGGTAATTTATTTTTTCCTCTCTCCTTTAGCCCCTGTGAGGTGCTGGTGGTTGATGCTTGTGGTGATGGGTTCCCCGAGGAGCTGAGGTTCCCAACATCACGATCGCTGGTAAGTACAAGCTGCGACCAGGGAGGGAAGAGACTGAATTTTCATCTCAAAAACAAAAAAAAAGGGGAGAAATCAGTCCCACCAGCTCCGTCTGGCACCTCTCCCCTCCCTTTGCTGTGGCTGCAACCGCCCAACAGCCGTTACTGGTCGTACTGGTGCTGGAGATACATACTGGTGGCCCCCCGTGTCCCCCCACCAGCTGGATTAATGGCAAACTGGGCAGATGTCTGGAGTGAAAAAAACATGCTTCAGACCTGCTGGCGATGCTCTGGCTGCCAGCAGCTCCTGGCAGCGGGGACAAGCTGAGCTGATGGTGACACAGGGAGGGGGACGATGGTCTCCACAGCCCTGGGATGTGGGGAAACGAGACCCAGAACTGGGAATTCGGCTGGGATTGGGTGTGTTGTGCTGGTGAGCAGCTTGTGTGCCCCAATCCTCCTCTGGTGCTCTGTTGTGGAATTATTTTTGGCTGCAACCGCCCAACAGCCGTTACTGGTCGTACTGGTGCTGGAGATACATACTGGTGGCCCCCCGTGTCCCCCCACCAGCTGGATTAATGGCAAACTGGGCAGATGTCTGGAGGGAAAAAAACATGCTTCAGACCTGCTGGCGATGCTCTGGCTGCCAGCAGCTCCTGGCAGCGGGGACAAGCTGAGCTGATGGTGACACAGGGAGGGGGACGATGGTCTCCACAGCCCTGGGATGTGGGGAAACGAGACCCAGAACTGGGAATTCGGCTGGGATTGGGTGTGTTGTGCTGGTGAGCAGCTTGTGTGCCCCAATCCTCCTCTGGTGCTCTGTCGTGGAATTATTTTATGATTTGGGTTGGAAGGGACCTTTAAAGGTCACTTAATCCAACCCTCCCTTGATGTCTCGCCCTACCTGGCTTGGCCCTGTTTGACCAGGCTGAGCATCATTTTTGGAGCTCCCAAGAGGTGGTGGCCCCTCGGCGCTACCCACCCAAGTCCCCTGGAGGTGGTGGCATGGAGGGGACCTGGCATGAAGCTTGGTAATTAAACAGCAGGTTAATGAGTAGCAGAGAAGCGTGGCTTTGGCCAGGGCAAGGGAGGGCACTGGCGTGGGTCCCGTGGGCAGCAGGACCTTCTTTAGGACATCCTCACCCCGCTGGAGTCAGGAG